CCGTCGCGAAGGCGCCTCGGCCGAGCACGCGAACCACCTGAGGGAGATATGGGGAGATATGGCGAACCACCGGAGGGAGATATGGGGAGATATGGCGAACCACCGGAGGGAGATATGGGGAGATATGGCGAACCACCGGAGGGAGATATGGGGAGATATGGCGAACCACCGGAGGGAGATATGGGGAGATATGGCGAACCACCGGAGGGAGATATGGGGAGATATGGCGAACCACCGGAGGGAGATATGGGGAGATATGGCGAACCACCGGAGGGAGATATGGGGAGATATGGCGAACCACCGGAGGGAGATATGGGGAGATATGGGGAGATATGGGGAGATATGAGGGAAGGGCGGAGAGACGTCTCTCCGGCGTGCGGCGAGGGTGTGCCACGGCCGCCCTGCTACTTCACACCCTACGAGGTCGTGCCCCGCTACTTCTCCTCCGACGAGAGGCAGGAGCCCCGTGGCGTCTCAAGTGCAAAGGCCCACCTCCAAGTCGTCGAAGCCAACCTTGCAGTCCGGGGGTGCGGGAGAGGCCGCCTCGGCCATCTCCACCGCCGGAGGCATCCCCTCCCCCGGAAGGTTCCGAGACGGTTCCGAGACGGTTCCGGCCTCCTCCTCCTTCGTTGGCTCCTCCCCCACCGCACTCGCAGCCACCGCCAGGTCGGCCTGCGGAGGCGCTCCCTCGACCGCCTCCGGCGTGGCGGCCTCCGCCAGTGCGGGTGCCTCAGCGGCTGTCGAGGCCTCCACGTTCGCCTGCGCTGCCGCCGCCGCCTCCGCCTCTCCCGCCGCCGCCGCCGCATCCGCCTCAGCCGCCGCTGCCACCGTCTCCACTGTCACCCTCGCCGCCTCCGCCGCCTCCGCCGCCGCCTCCGCCGCCTCCGCCGCCGCCTCCGCCGCCGCCGCCTCCGCCGCCGCCTCCGCCGCCGCCTCCGCCCCCGCCCCCGCCGCCTCCGCCTCATCCACCCCACCTGCCGGTGCTGGCCCCGCCTCCGCTGCCGCCGGCCCCGCCTCCGCTGCCGCCGGCGCCGCAGCCTCTACCGCTTCCGGCTCCTCCACTCCTACCGCCGCCTCTGCCGCCGCCTCTGCCGCCGCCACCTCCACCTCTGACCAGGCCAGCTCTGAGCCATCCCCGCCCACTGCAACCTCGTCTGCAGCCGTGATCATGGCAGCCGCATCCACAGAAGCTGCCCCTGCGTCCTGAGCCGCGTCGGCTCCCTCCGCCTTAGCCGCCTCTGGAGGATGCTCCGCCACCGCCCGACACTCCTTTGGCAATGCCTCTGCCTCGTGTGCCAAGGCGGCGTCGATGGCGGCGGTGAGAGCCGCGAGCTCGTCTTCGCTCTGCGCTCGTACCATCATGTCCTTTGGTTGTCCAGACACAACCAGCCATCTCGGACGGCCAGGTACGAGTCGCCATCCTGTGACAGCCATGATCTTCTCCCTGTCGCCCTGCGCATAACGCAAGCAGGAGCCTTCCATCGAGAACCGGCGCCGGCGCCACCGCTGTAGAGGCGGCGGGCCGCGCTTCTCCAGCCACATGGCTGCACCGAAGACTGTGAGCGAGGCCGGGTGCGATTCGGGCTGTGATTTGCGAGGTGGCCGGGTTGTTTTGAAGGTATGCTTCCCTTCGCCGCCGTCCAGCGAGCGAAAGTCGAGCGAAGGCGGGCGACAAGAATTCGCACGGGCGCACCAGGGCTTGGGCTCTCTAGCCCGCAACCCGATCCCAATCGTCTGGCCAACTGGGTGCGCTTCTTAGCTCCCCGGTCCTGGGCGTGCGGCTGATGACTGCACTCCAAGTGCTCCAAGTGCTTCTCTCCCCGCCCTGGATGGATGTGAGGTTGCCATCGCACTCCAAGTGCTCCAAGTGGACTCTGTCCTCCTGTGTTCTCTAGGTCTAGGCCCCTCTCATATGAGGAGTCAAGCGCGAGAGGCGCTCAGCTTCGCGGGCTCTCTCCAATACTTATGCGGGGGGAGATGGGGTCCCATGCGCCATGGCCCGCCGCAGGCGCCGATTTTTTGGCGTTTCCTTTTTTGCGCGATTTTCTACTTGTTTTCATGAGAATTTCGCGTATTGCGACCATGCTATCACGCCTTGCGACAGCCTGTCGGCGCTGCTGACCGCCTCGTACGCCACGACCGTCTCGCCGCCGTGCACACACGCGCGCAGCACGGTCGCGCGCGGCTCGGCGGCGAGGCAGTGGAGCGTGGAGTGGCGCGCCGACTTGCCGGCGGCGTCCCCCCCCCCCCCCCTCTCCCCTCCCTCTCCCTGCCGCCTCCTGCACGGCCCCGTCGCCGCGCGTGCAGGACCCGGCCATGCTTGCTTGCTTGCAGCACGTCGCGCTGATCGCGCTGAGAGCCCACAGGGCTCAAGCGCGCGACACGTGGTGGTGAAGGGCCTCGGCGCGCTCCTCACGCGGCGGAGCCGGAGTTGGTCGTCGCCGAGCGGGGTGAGTCGGATCCTCCGGGCGAGCACGAGCTGACGGGCAGGAGGCCCTCCAAACCGCGCGCGCCCTGCCACACGGCCGACACCGACACATGAGAGATCAACACCAAGCGTCGCCCTCCTCGCCACCGCGCGACTTCCCCCCGCAAGAGAAGAGAGCACACGGACACGGGGCGGGAGGGGCACCGTAGCCTAGGCCGTCGCGTGGTTGTGACCACTGCGGCGGCGCCACGTTCGCTGCCACGCGCCGGCGTGGCGCACTATCGTCGTCGACACATGCGCATGATTGGACTTTTTGCAGTGGGTCTACCGGGCCGGGGCCCCGCGCCGGGGCGGCAGAAACGAAGAGGCTAACGTCTCACGTGTCACGTCATACACAGCGTAGTCGATTGACCCCAGACAAGGTTATGGAGAGCGGCCATAACAGGTGTTATGGCTGTTATGGCTGGCTGCTCGTAACACCCCATAACACCTCATAACACCTCCATCGCTGTTATGGCTGTTATGCCCACCCTACCATAACACCTCATAACACCTCATAACACCTCATAACACCTCATAACACCTCATAACACCTCATAACACCTCATAACACTCATAACACATCCCACTGGTTGTTATGACAGCCAGCATAACAACCTCATAACAGCTGTTATGTGTCCCACGGATTTTTCTTTTGGAGCCCCGCCGCGCGCATCCCGGCGTGACGGTAAAATTCTTCTTTTGGAGCGCCCGCCCCGCGCCGCGTAGCTACTACCAGCCAACCATGGCCTACCGGGACCATGGCCTACCGGGATCCATCGATCGCGGGACGAGGAAGAGTTTTACCCCTCTCCCTTTTCTCTAAGCTAAAAGTACGTACAACAAACTCCCTCGCACGGGGGACTGGCGCGCACGGAGCTTTAACTACTAAAAAGCGGGAGCAGCCAGCTTCCACTTGTTAGAAACCTCGAGACATGTAGTGAAAAAGGAAAGAAAAAGCTGAGCCCTGGTGTCGAGGTGTCGAGGCCCGGTGTCGAGGGTGTCGATCGAGGCCAGGGCTCATAATTGCGGGAAGGAATACCTTAAGGTACATGTTTAAAACGGAGGGAAGCTGCAGAGCTGCAGAGAGTACGAGTTAGAAACGGGGGAAGCACTTGCGTGAAGGGGGGGGGGGGGGAGGGGGGTCTTGATTGAGAAATCTGAAGCCATCGCTCAGCCTCAGTCAGGAGGCAGGTTGATGTAATTGAATTTAACTTGAGGGCAAAAGAGAAAATATTTGGCGATCGATGCCGAACCTCGCGCGCGGCAGCGCGCGCGAAGCGAAAATTGCAGCGGCGAGCAGTTCGGTGTGGCCTCTCGGGCCATAACACCGTGGATCCGGGACGGCTCTCTCATAGCAGCCCATAACATGTTATGGGCTGCTATGCCCCGAGAGCCATAACACCATAACAATAACTGTGTCAGGGGTGCATAGTCGATACTCACAGACAAACTTCACATTCCGGATCCGGGAGCCGTGAAGACGAACACACTGCCCGTCCTCGCGGCCGGCGAGTTCGCCAAGACCGCTCTGCGCGCCCCCAATGGTGTACTTTAGAAGCAACTGCGGATTTGCTGGGCCTCACATCTAGAGGGTGAGCTGGCGCGCTGTCGCGCTGGCGACAATGAACGGGTTTTGCACGCTCGTGCGCCTATTCATTCGGAACGCTCTCACGGGAGTGGCAGCCTCTCCGGCGCCGCGATCGCTGAGCGCGCGCGCTTGTCCTTCGCCCGCTCGGCCGCGAGAGCGTCGAACAGCTGTTGGTGCGTGGCGCGAGGAGGCAGCCCGCCCCCATCGACGGCCGCTTTGAGCCAGCGCGTGCCCGTGCCTTGGTAGAACATCGCCATCTTGCCCGTCTCTTTGTCCGTCTCGATCCGGAGCGCGTCCTACTTGCGTGTGGAGGCGCGCCTGGCGTGAGGGACGGGCTGCTACCCGTGGCTGCGCGACTCTGCCGTAAGAGAAGAGATGCCTCGCTCTTCTGAGTCTCAAGCGACGAAGCAATGAGGACGACGTTCTCGGGCAAGGAGGACCCGCTGCCCTGGTCGACGAAGCCGCCGCTGTAGCACGCGTCGCAAAACCAGAAGAGCTGGGCAGCTGAGGCCGCGATGCCCTGCATGAGCACGGTGAGGTCGTCGTCGAGGAGGGTGCCATTCGTGGTGCAGAGCGCCTCGTCCATGATGTCCGGCGCCGACTCTCCCTTGCGCGTGACCTCGTCGCCGTTCGCATCAAAGACCTGCTTGCCATGCCCTACACAGACGAGCAAGACTCTACGGCGAGGAAACGAGAGGTTGGGAACGGGAGGGACCGTCGCCTGAGTAAAAGATAACGGCGGTGTCGCCAGGCCTCAGGCTGGCCTTGAAGGCCGTCAGCGCTGCGAGGAGGGACTCAGTGCTCTGCTCCGCAGGGTCGGTGACGGTGACGATATCTTCCTCTGAAAAGCCCCAGTGCTCCCTCAGCAGCGTGTCAAAGACTTTCACATCGTTGCGCGTGCCATTGATTATTGGCCATCCAGCCGGGGCACCGCGGTAATCCATGCCGACTAGGAGCGCGCGGCGGCGCGGCGTGCGCTGCTGCTCGGGCTCGGCGGTGGTCTTTTGAGATGATGAGCAGCCACCCATTCACGACTTAGAACGACTAGTGGGGCAGCGAGGCGCCTGTTTTGACGCGTGAAAAGAATTTTCGAGGAAACTCCAATCGCACAACACTGCTCCCGTTCCCCTGTGTCCCTGATCGTCCTTACACAAGATCCTGCTCGTGCAGGTGGGGACCCTGTCCTTCTCCCACCCCTCGTTTGGCGTGCCCGTTTTCTTTATTTATTTATACACTTGGCACGGGACTGGCGCGCACTTTTACAACGAAGCTGTGCGTGAAAATGGAGCGCGGCTAGGGTTGCGCAGCTATGAACAGGAGCGAGTTCGCGCTGCGCTAGGCTCAGACGGCGAGTTCGCGCTGCGCTAGGCTCAGTACGGCGAGTTCGCGCTCTGCACCGCGCTATAGCGGCTAGGCTCTCTTTATGGAGAATTTATCTCTCGGCTGCGTTGGCTCGCCAAAGTCTTTCTTCTCGATGGCGCTGGGTCCGCTGACTGGGGCGGGCGTGGGTGTGCGTGTTTTGTAGAGAAGCAAAAACGCACGTCGTCCGGGTTCTGTCGTGTGTCGAGCGTGCGGGCGGGGAGGGCCCCGAGCTGGGCCGCGAGGGCGAGGCGCTGAGTGCCTGTGGCGAGAGCTAAGATAGAGCAGTGGCCAGTGCGAGAGTTACACACGACACACACGACACGACAGGGACACAGACACAGACACAGACACAGACGCAGACACACACTGCGCTCCCCTTAGCTCCCGCGAGAGGTAGGGAGACGCGAGCCCGACGGAGTCCGGTGGTGGGGGCCCAGACGCAGCCAGCCCCTGCGTTGCAAAGGTTGGTGCTGAGCCGCCGCCGCCGCTCGCTCTCGAAAAGCATCGCGCTGCTGCCCGTTCCCGGAGCGACGAGCGCGAGTTTGGTGGCCAGGGCCTCGCCTGAAAGGGGGGGGGGGGGGGAGAAGTGAGGACAAACCGAGCGGGTGGGGCTGCCGGGAAGGTGGTGGGCTACGAGCGAGTAGCGGGAAGACCGTCGATACTCCGGCGGAAGAGTGCTCCCCCGCCGCCCCCTGGGTCACCCCGAGTGACCTCGCAGCCCACGCCGTGAGGCGCTGCTGTCAGGGGAATGTTGGGGGCGCGCAAAGCCGCTCGGAAGAGACGGCCAGGAGCCAAGGAGCGGCCGGAGCGCGGCGAAAGACCGAGGGGAAGTGGCCGCCGCATACAGCCTCCGGCGGGCCTCCGGCGGACGCCTGCGGCGTGGCGCTGCGCGCGACCGGCCCCTTCTCGGTGCGCTGCAGGACGATCTCGCTCAAACGTGCGCCTGCTGGGGCGGGGCGGTCACGAGACCGGCTGAAATTGCGGCCGCAGCTGCTTGGGGGGGTGAGGATGGCCGGGCTTGAACGGCTTCTCGCGAGGTGCCCGCATCCCGACGCAGCAGCGATTTCGCCACCTCGGTCTTTCGCGGCCTTCGCCGAACGCAGGCGCTGGGTGGGACCTTGTCGGGAAATTTCTTTTCTTCGCGCCCCCGCGCCCTCGCCGAGCCAAAGGAGGGAGCCGCCAGGCGCCCACCCCGGCGGTTCGCTCGCTACGCGTCGCTCACCGCCGGGGCGGGCGCCTGGCGGCGCCGCTGCGCAAAAAGAATGACTGGGCGGCAAATGATAGCAGTGGGCGTCAGAAGACTCGTCCTTGCTCGAGGAGAGCTCGATAGACTCGAGGGGCCAGGATATGCAGCAAGGAGGGCGGAGCTGCGCCGAAAGGCGAAAGAAGCCGAGAGAACAAGGGAACGGCAGGCGGCGGCGGCGGCGCAGAACGAGGCAGAGGAGAGCGACGCGACAGAGGAAGAAGCGACAAGGGAGAGCACGACGAGAAGGGGGCGACCGCGAAGGTTGAAGCGAGAATCGGCGAGAGACTGCGAAGAGAGATAGGAAGAGGCGGACGCCCAAGGGTGGGCGACGGCTAGCGCACCACACCCCTCTCCTTAAAATCCCTGTGTGGTGGCGGCGTGCCGTCCTCCCATCCCTCCCTTGGGTTGTCCATTTTCTTTCTTTCTTTCTTTCTTTAGGAGGCGGGCAAGAAGGCGCCAAACGGCAAGCCGCACGAAGAACTCGGCGATGCCGCAATGGTCAACCCGCGTGCGAAGCACGCGACACGACACAAATACCTGCTCAAACGACTCGTCAAGACCCTTCGCTCGGCGTGGGGCATGCTCATCGAGATGGAGCCGACTGCACACCTCAGTTACAGTAACCCAAAACAACCTGACGTGGCGGCGGCGAACATCGGCAAAGGGCATGTGCGCCTCGTTGGCGACTTGAAACTGACGAGCTCGCTTGCGTGCAAGGGTGGCGATCGGCTCGGCTGGAAGGGGGCTTTTGTCGCCTTCGGCAACACCGAGCGGGCGCTGCTCGACTTAGTGTTAGGGCATGCTGCATGGCCGCGGCCGGGAGGGGGGGGGGAGGGGGGGAGGGAGGCGGAGGATGCAGAGGCGGAGGCGGCGGCGGCGGAAGAGGAGGAGGGGGAGAGTGAGGGGGAGGCGGAGGCGGGGGCACCTGTGACGGCCCGCTACGAGAAGGGCGAGTACCGGTTCGCGCGGGAGAAGAATTGCGACCTGCGTTTGCTCGACTTCGAGACGTTCGGCGGCTTCGGGGACGGCGTCCGCAGAATTCTTCGGCAGGCGGCGGACCAGCTGAGTAACAAACTTTCGCACGCTCAGCACCTCGATGAGGTCACATGGACCACCAAGAACTGGCACGGGCTGCAGATGCAGCGCTTGTCTGTCGTCCTCCACACCGCTGTGGCGTGGCAGACGGTGAACGAGCTAGCGTGCGGGGACAGCGGCATTGTGCACGGAGCTAAGTGCATTGCCGTTCTTAACGGAGTCGCTTAGGCGGCTCCGGTGGTGTGCCGGTGATAGTACTAGCACGCGCCAGTTCGCACCCGTGTCGAGTCTGTGTGCTGTGAGAGAGAGTTGTTTTGTTTAAATTCTTTCTTTAGAATCTTAGGCCAGCCTGTACTCGAGTAACAAGACTCCCTCGCACGACACTAGGCACGGGACTGGCGCGCACTGGCACTAACAAAATGCGAATATTATTAGGCAGAGGGAGAGGGAGAGGGAGAGGGGGAGGGAGAGGGAGAGGGAGAGGGAGAGGGAGAGGGAGAGGAAGAGAGAGAGGGAGAGGGAGAGAGAGAGCGAGAGCGAGAGCGAGAGAGAGAGAGAGAGAGAGAGAGAGAGAGAGAGAGAGAGAGAGAGAGAGAGAGAGAGAGAGAGAGACCCAGGGAAGGTCTTGCACTACCTAGCCCTTACACGCAAAACCTCTCTCTGCGATGCACGGTGCAGGCAGGGCCCGAGGAAGCCCTCCTTCCTCCGCGCCACCGACGCCTCCCTTCTATGATCTGTGGCAGGGTGGCAGCACACAAAAGCAAAGTTCCCTACACACCAACACGAATGTGACACGGCGGGCGCTGTGGCGAATGCAGTGCACGCAAGCGTGACGGTGAAACGCATCCCGGAGCACCCTTTGCAATAAGGCGTCGGCAGCTTCATCTAGTCTCTGCTCTTCCCTCTCCCCTCGCCCCTCCCATCCCGCTCGAGACGTGACTCCACGCATACCCCCCGCAGGTGCAGCGAGGTTGCTCGTGAGCGCCGCCGCCGCCCGAACCCCCTTCACTCGATCGTAGTCCATACGCCCCTCCACCAACGACGCCTCTCACACTGCAAGCGCCCAGACCTGACACACACTGTCACATACCAAGAGCTAAATGCGAGGCAACCTGGTCTGCGCGCGCAATACTTTGGTCTTCCTTGCTGCGGCGGCGGCGGCAGCAGCACGCGCGTCCCAAGAGCGTCCACAGCGGAGCTCGGCGCTGGACTCGCCGCTGCGCTGCTGCGGCGCGACCTGCCGCTCCGGCGCCGAGTAAGGCCCTCTCCTTTCTCGAGCGATCTCGGGCGATCTCGGGCGATCTCGAGCGATCTCGGGCGATCTCGGGCGATCTCGCGTGATCTCGGGCGATCTCGGGCGATCTCGAGTGATCTCGGGCGATCTCGGGCGATCTCGAGTGATCTCGGGTGATCTCGGGCGATCTCGGGCGATCTCGGGCGATCTCGAGTGATCTCTGGCGATCTCGGGCGATCTCCGGTGATCCCTTGGCGGGCTCGGCGGCTTCACGCTCGCCTGCTCTGGCGGCGAAATCAGCCCTGCAGCCCGCTGGCTGGTCAGCCCTGCTGCCGGCAGGCTGGTCTGCCCTGCTGCCGGCTGGCTGGTTAGCCATGGGTGGTGTAAGCACTGCGCGAGAGTGGCGCGGCCGTCGGCGTCCTGCGCTGGGAGCGGGCGGGAGTTGGGGCGGGAGGTATGGCCGAGATATAGGCGAGATATGGCCGAGACATAGGCGAGATGTAGCCGAGATATAGCCGGAGTTGGGGCGGGAGGTAAAGCCGAGATATAGCCGAGATGTAGCCGAGATACACTCGAGAACAGATATAGCCGAAAGGTAGCCGAGATATAGCCAGAGTACTCGAGTGCGACTTGAAACGCCGTGCGAGACAGCCCCGACGACCTGATCGTACGGCCAGTAGGAAGGTGTCCTTCCAGCGCGTGCACGCTTCTGACGCAATGCGCGTCACAAACTGCCTCGGATTGGCTGCTGGCACTCTCGAGGCTATGCCTACACAGCCTCGCGCGCATGGGCAGTCAAGAGGGACCACGCACCTTCTCAGGTGAGGACAGCGCCGGTGCCTCTCTCTTGGACCGGCAAACTTGGTGGTCTCGTGTCACCAATGTGGGACCAGTGTGCGGCATCGCGCCATCGACAGCTCTGAACTGCGCCTCACCACTGACCGGGAAGGCCGCCAAGTGGGTCAGCACCGGTCGCACATTGTGGCAGCAGTCAGCAGCGCATGTCTGATAGCTAGAGCAGCAGCGTCAGGGTCGCAGGGTCGGATCGTGTCAAGCCTCTCGCCCGGCCGGCCGCGTGCAGACGTCGGCCTGTCTGCTGTCTGGAGTGATCTGTCGGCGGTCAGTACGACCGATCAGGTTGGAGTTTTCTGATGATTGGAGGGTCTATCTGTATGTACTCCTTTGAGATCTCTCCAAATCTGCCCTCTGTTAGACCGGGTTAGATCGGGAAGTCGGTGCTAACGGAGACTACGCAGTAGCGGAGCCGGAGCCCCCCCCGTTTGCGTCGGTTTCCGCCCTGCTGCGCTGCGCACGGTGCCTCCGGGGGCCCCCGCCTCCCCCCAGAGTACTTACATGCAGTTAGTTCGTGTAGGGGAAGGGCCCCAAGAGCCTTGTATGAAGGGGAAGAACAGTGACGAGTGAGGCTCGGACTGGACGCCGCCAGCGCGGTACGGCTCTATGGGTGGACGTGGACGCGAGACAGGAGATGACGGCACGCTCTAGCGACACGCAGACACCGCGATGCAAGTAGCATGACCACGAGGTGCGGTATCATCCTAGACAACACGTATGTGCGAGAGAGGCCCCCGCGCCCAGCCCTATCTCTGCTTGCCGCTCTTCCTTTTGCGTGTCAACCTCCCCTCCGATGCGGCGGCGCTGCGAGGATACCTGGCGCGCGCCACGAGGAGAAGGAGCGTAGCGAGCGCAGCAATCGTCGCCGCCGAAGCCATGCCCTCTGGCTCAAGCACCCACCGCGGCCTCGTCGCCGTCGACTCATCCGCCCTCCCCGCTGAGACGCTGGTGGCTGCCGCGGGCGCTGTCTCCGGTCCGGCCGACCCGCCACTTTCTGCGCGGACGCTGTCCCAGAAAGCGCAGGAAGTCTTGCACTGCTCCAGCATGAAGGAGGGGTTGGCGGTGCACTCGCCCATCACCGACCACTGGCGACAGCTCTCGTGCGAGTCTTCGCCCTTTGGCAACGCGAGCGCCACGATCGCCTGCAACCGCCCAACTTCGGGCCAGACCTGCGGGTCCAGCTGCAGCTGCTCGCGCAGCTGCAAGCTCTTCCGCGCGTGGGCCGCGGCGTTCTGCACATCAGCCAGCTTGTGCGCGAGCATTGCGCACCGTGCCTCCAGCTGCATGAGCGACTTGCGGTTGGTACCCCCGGCGGCGCCTGCCAGCATCGCTCGGGTGGCCGCGGCACTACGCCGCATGCAATCGTATGCCTCTTGCACGGCCGCGAAATCGCTGATCGATCCAGTACGTGTGGAGCCACGCGCCTCGAGCAATCCGGAGAGGTGGTACAGCGTCTCCATCGAGGCGCCCTCTTGGGCCGGAGTGGAGGCGAGCCCTTTGGAGGTTTCGAGCGCGGCACGGAAGCTCGCCTCCGCCTCCGCGACGATCTCCGTCCGCCTCGCCGTCTCCTCCGCCGTCTCGCTCCGCGTCCCTCGAGCTGCAGCCGCGTCGGCGGTGAGCCTCAGCTTCAGCCGCCCATTCTCGAGCTGCATGCTGGCCTTCCGGGTGATAAGGTCGTCAGCGGCGTCTCGCCGCACTTCGGCGAGCGCGGCGATGGAGGTGCTGTCGAAGGAAGAAAGAAACTCGACCATCTGAGGCACCAGCTTCATCTTGCCGCTGTCGCCCTCGGCCACGCCCAGCGCGCTAGCCGCGTCGTATGTGAAGACGACGAGCCAATAGTAATGCATCAGTTCCTCGATTGGCACTGTGTGACACAGTGGCTTCCCAGCATCGACCTCTGGGCGCTTCAAGAACCGCTGCGCGAGGCCGCGCAACTCCTCCCACACGCCGGACGCGACAGCGTGCGCCGGCTCTTCCTGGCCTGCCGCCGCCAGCGGCGTCACACATAAATTGCTCGTCTGCCGATACTTGCCCACCGCTTGCACAAACGCGGCGTCGAGCTTCCCGCGCGCAGCCTGCGCCATGAACACATCAAACTCAGGACGCGAGTACACGTGGATCAGTGTATTAAGAGCATCACATGAGTGTATTGAGAGGGGAACGATCGGAATGCAATAATACGTGTCCACTCGAGTGCTAGTTGGAACACGGGGAATTGCATTCAGCATCTAGTCGAACAACCTCGCGCCGAAGCGCTGCAAGTTCACGCCGCATCGCGGTGCACGACTCGCGCTCAAACAGCCTCAGCAGCCGCCCCGGCGTCAGCCGCAGCTGTCGCGGCAGCGTGCCGGCCGGCAGTATGCGCTGCGCCTCTGGGGCGGACGCAGCAGCCGTGCAGAGCGCGTCTGCAGCCTCGCTGAAGACTGCCGCGCGCACCTGGCCCGACACGCCCATCAAGTGGAGAACTCGCGCGTCCGTGGTGTACTTCGCGGCCAAGGGGCAGCAGTCGGAGTTGAGCGCGCTCGGTGGCAGGACTGCCACGCGATCTCGCAGCCACGGCAGCGACTTTTGGCCGATTTGGTAGGACAGGCTCTTGTCGGGCGAGTTGGCTTGCCACAGTTTGGAGAATGCCTCCTGCTCATTCTGCCCATGGTCCTGCGCCCACCATGCGCGGAGCACGGCGAGCCCGTGCGCGTCATTGCGCGCGAGGATGAAGCCCGAGTTCACCATATACCGCACGTCTGCGTCCTACGCTGTTAATACATAAGGGATCAGTGCACCGCGTGAGACAAAAGGCAAAGGCGCGAATACAGCGGGACCGCGTCATCTCGAGGCAAAGGGTGGGAACGCGTCATCTCGACTAGTCGGAATACACGTTTCTGTATTCAGCCTCTCGGGTGGGCGTCCTGGCTCATCCAAACGGACGCTTGCGGCGACGACGCCATGAGCGCTGCCAGGTCCAGGCCGAAGCTGATGACCGCCAGGTCGGCGTCGACCCACGCAACGCCCTTGCAATTTGCGCACCACCCACCCGGCTCAAGTGCCTTGAGCATGACCCCGATCTTTGTCCAACGAATGTCGCGCGGCTCGCGCCACTCGCCCGCCGAGTGATCATCCTCGAGCACCATTGCATGCCCGTGGGTCTCTGCCCACGCCGCGTTGACGAACTGCGCGTACGGTGCGAAGCTGGCGCGCAGATTCGCGTCGTAAAAGCTTATAATGCCGATCTTGCTCGACATCTCGCCCCATACACGCCGCTGTCGGCGCAGCACGCCCTTGAGGCAGTCGTCAAGCGCAGCCGTGCCCATCTGACGCGCAGCACAGCAGGTCCCCACCCCGTGGTGAACGCTGAACGCGGTTTCAGGCTGCTCGCCGGCATTTTGTGCGGCAACAAAGGAGGCGGCAAGTCGCGTCAGCAGCAAGATATGTCTCTGCGCCAACACCATGGACTCTGCTCAGCACACCATTGGACTTTAACTCGAGATCCGCCGGCGCCGACTGTGTGGGGTGTGAACAGCAGCTCCTGAGTGGAGTCCTGACCACATCGCGCAGGCGCCTTTAAAGGTCCAGGTGATAGCCCTGGATGGGCAATGCGCACGCCTAGTTGGGCCTCAGATCGCCCGACCGCGTCCCGGTGCTCTGCCGTCGGATTTGTGACGCCGCCGCACCGCGCCGCGGCCGGGGGCCCTCCCGCGCCGCGGCCGGGGGCCCTCCGGAGGCCGAGGATGGCCGTGGCGGACCGGGACGAGCTCTGGGAGGTGAAGTGTCAGTGTATATATTGTAGAGACCAACCATGTGCACAATATCCTGAGGGAGGGTGTAGAGGATGTAGAGTGTAGAGCGCTGTAGAGCTGTAGAGATGTAGAGCGCTCTGGAGCGCTGTAGAGCGCTGTAGAGCTGTAGAGCTCTACATCCACCGCGTGACGAACTGCCTCCGTTGTAGAGCGATGTAGAGGCGCTCTACAACGTGAAATCTCTACAACAAACTCTACATCATAAGCGGCGAAGCGGCACGGTCGGTCTCCGACATGAGGCGCGTTGCACTCGCCAGTGCTGCCCTGGCCTTCTGTCTGCCCGCCCAATGGGTGGCAGGTGCCTCTGCTGCTGTGGCATGCCTCACGGCTGCGACTGGCCGGCGCCTCGGCGCGTCAGCTCGGCTCGGCGTAGCGATAGTGGCCAGCGCAACTCGCCTGGACTCAACGCTCAGCCAGGAGCTCCCGCACGCGCTGGCGCGAGGCATGGCGCATGCAACGCGCAGCAATGCTCGCCTCGCCTCGCGCAAATGCGACCGTCCTCGCAGCCGACAGTCCACCGCCTGCTAAAGAAGCACTGCGACGAATGCGGCACCGGCGACGCATGGCAGGCTGGTCATGACGCAGTTATAGGGTGTTGTGTGCCATCAGAGTGACTCTCTGTGTGTCAGGGATAGTCAGGGCCGTCCATCAGAGCTCCAGTAAGCTCGGAGACACCCCATTAGCGCGGCTCGACCTCT